AATACCCATCTACATCCAACTGGTTTCTTTCCTTTGGGTAGGTCAACTAGCTCCCAAGTATTATTTTTCAAAAGGGCATCAATTTCAACTTTCATTGCATCTTTCCACTATGGAACTGATAAGGCTTCTGCACTATTCTGGGGATAGGAATATCAACAATGGAAGTGAGAAAGGACCTATAAGAGGGAGACAGGCGATCATAGGATAGAAACTGGGAAATACAGTGAGTCGTGGATGTGGTGCAACGCTGTTTCCCTTTATGGACCGCAATAGGTAGGTCAAGGTCATCAGAAGAAGGGGAGGTAACAACAGTGGAAGGCATCTCAGTGGGCCTTGGGACTGTAGTACCTAGATCTGGATCTACAGAAGGAACTGGGGCTGGCCTGGACTGCTGATGACCGGGATCAACCTACCTGCATCGCCTGTGATAGACTTTCAACTCGTGATCCCTCTGACAACCCTCACCATTACAGCCCTCATCACTCAATGGAATGGGTAAAGGAACAACCTCAAATGAGTTAACCCCACTCTCACTGCGCTCCCCCTGAGGAAAAAGACCCAAATTCTCACTACTCTCTCCCTGAGGAGAAACCCTAGGATAATAGGGTGCCTCCTCAAAGAAAGTGACATCCATTGAGACAAATCTCCTCCCTGAAACAGGATCATAGCAGCAATAGCCCTTTTGAGTTTGTGCATAACCGAGAAGCGAGGATTGGGGTTCAGAGGCTTCTAGCTCTGATTCAAATTCAAAGGATTTGAGGAGCTTGGGTAGCTTCGATTTGTGGGAAGTTGAAGACCTGCAGCAAGCAGAGAGTTTCAATACAGAGCTCTTGTTCCCTGGTGTGGATGAGGATCAGGCTGAGGTGCACTCGACCACAGCTCTAAGTACTGGCTCGGATGTTAACAGAATTCCAGCAGTAGAGAAAGTTAATCTTATGATCCCGAAGGAGATTAGTACGATCTCAGACTCTTGACAGGTGCAAGACACTGGTAGAATGGAACAAGTTCCTCTCTTGAAGCCCTAGCAAAGTTGTTTCAGTTAAGGATGTGCAAGGACTGGCTGCTCCAGGTAGCATATTAGATTCCCTTGAATCTGTCATTTCTCCTTTGAACTCAGGGGGGAGGGGAGAATGAAGCACCTTGTGAACCTGTTCAATTTAACCCCTTGATCCAGACCTTTAATCTGCTCCATATTTGGGGTGGGGACCATCAAGAAGGTGAAAAAAAACAAAGAAAGATATTAAGAGAAGTAAAGAGGATCATAGTCAAACCTCTAGAGATGCTAAGTAATTGGTAATCTTGCCTTGTAATGTTTAGGGAAAGTGTAGAGGTCATTCGTTGAAGGATGGTAGTAGGTGTTAGGTGTTGATGGTTGTCAGTGGTTAAGTGGGTAATTTATTGTTTGATCTGGAGGGTGCCTCAGGTTTGTTGTGGTTTTAGCTTTCAGTGTTTTTCTTTGTTGTGACTTTTTGAAATTAAGGGTCATTAGCTCTAGAGAAGGGAGGTTATATTGGGGTTTTCTTTTTTCTCTTTTGTTTGGGTAATATCTTATCACCTTTCTTCTAATCTTCTTTTATCTCAATACATTTTCTGTTTTATTTACTACCAAAAAAATCTAATACATCAACCAACCAATTTATTACATAATCAAAACTAGGATCTAACATACATCAAAAAGAATTTTGAGCTGGCTCAAAGTGGTCATTATCTCTATTGCTGGGTAGTAGTATTACTGCTCCACTGATCTGCAATACCATTGCCAACCATCATGTTATAATACCATCTCATGTACCCCACATGGTGCTGGTAGTTTTTACTAGAGAATATGTCAATTCTAGTAATATTTCATGTTGGTACCCATGAAAATGGAAATATGTTGTGCAAATATTAGGAAACATGTCAACATTTTCAACCATGTTGCCATGTACTAGACACAAATGAGGATTTTTCAAACAATAGGATTTAGTTTTGATACTTCTAGCTCTATTAATATCAGAAAGTGGTTAGTATTATAAGGTAGCTTCTGTTCTGATTAATAATACTCTCTTTCCATATCCATAATACCTATTCCAGAAATATCTACCCTTGTCAAATATTCACAGGCCTCCCAACCCTTCCCAAATACTATGGAGTTGGAAATTATGATTCTGTGGATGGCGAATTGTAGACTTTAAAGTGCCAAATTGTAATCTTAAAACAGAATATTCATACAAACTTTCATGGATGTGAGATCTGAATTTTCAACCTTATGTCCAAGGAAAAATTTGATTTAGGTTATGTCATCACTTCAGAGAGTGCCTCTGATGTACTCTTGTTATGAGTGGGTGGAATTTGAGGGGAATCTTAGGTGGGGATTGGATGGATGAGGGATGGTGGTGGCGTCCATGGCCTTCAAGGAGGTTAGATACTTGGTTGCCAAAGTGAACTCCTTGGAGATCAGCTAATTCACTTGGAATATATATATATATATATATTAGTTTCATAAGACCTTCTTCTATTACTATCATATCCTTTTTGACACTTCCCATTTAATAAATTCTTATCATTGCCAATCATGGACAAAAAGGAAATCCTAATCATAGTATCTGTCTATCCATCAGAAAAACACAGTACCTTTCTAGTTTTTTTCTTGACAGCTTAACCACTCCCTGAATTACAGAGGAATCAGTTAGTTTCATTTCTCTGGGTTGGTTTCAGTTTCGGGTATTCTTAGGTGTGTCATACTGTGTTTCACCTGTATACCATGCTATTTTACAAACCATATTTACAGTCTACCAAGACGTACTTTGAACACTCTCTGTGGGTTTCCATCAGGTCATGTATTGTTATATAATTTCCAGTATCTTTCTAAAAGAATTTCAATGATAGAAATATGTACTTCGTAATTTATGGCCTTCACAAACTAAATCAACTTTTCAATACAGAAATGAAAAAAGGAAAGATATGTTTTTATTTACAACATCATTTGATCTAGCCTCCAATTCTGGCTAAGGTTGTTAAAGGAACTCCTTACTTTTGCAGTCTAGTTTCATATGCATTCTTGTGGACAGCCTAATCAAGTCAGAGATTTACTCCGACTATGTCCAGGTTTACATCTCTGTAACCTTGCTACGAATATAGACTACTGTTATTTTTAAGTTATTTCCTTCTTACACTGCTGTCATTTAAATTACTAATTTTTTTTATCTATTATAAAGCTTAAAACTGATCGCCATCGTAACTTTAATTTGATGGATTTACAGGCTCACTTGGCTCCCAGTGGTTACCTTAAAATTCCAACAGTGAGTAAAACACCCTAGTAAAGTAATAGATGTTTCGTCATGCTGATCTGCCATATATCAATTTATTTTGGCATGTTGAAGATAAGATTTGCTGGAAAGTTTATGATTATAAATAACTCATCAAAAAAAAAAAGTTTATGATTATAAATTAAGAGGATTAGATGTTAGATTCTTCCTCATTTTTTATAGGTGTACCTATTTGTTAGCATAGTTAATTAGGACCGTAATATCCATAGTTTTTCATACATAATGTATTTATGTATGGCACTTCATGTTTATCACATAAATATAATGTTTGCAAAATGTCCGATTTCATATGGTCTCATACTTGTTACAAGTTGCAACATCAAGATAAAGTTTCCACCTCCATGATAACATGAATAAAGTTTTACTGCTGTATCAGAATCTCACACTGTTAGAACCTAATTATGTCCTTAAAGTAACGTCTTATCAAATACAATAATAATATTCTTGTAAGATCTAAGGGTGATAATAATTACTTATTTTATAGGATATTCCCGCCTATTTGGAAGGATGTAAGTTCCTTCCCAAGCTTAACAATGAACTCCCTAATGAGAGGAATTCCACTTACAAGGAGCGGTTCAGCAGCTTAGAGAATTTGATACTTATTATGGTGAGTTCAAAGCTATATGCTGGTTATACACTCTGTGTGCCCACTTGGAATGACAAATTTGATACTTATTATTACTCAAATATTTTCAACTTTCCATCTTTTTTCTTTTCTGTATATTTTATTGTCAGTTTGAGCATGACACAGTTTTGATACCTCGTGAGACCTCCTGGTTTGGGTACTATCCAGATGGAGCATTTAGTCCAATTTTGCCTCCACAACAGGTAAACTATCCATCCTTGATCTAAACTTCCAACTGGAAGGTATCTTAGATTGACAACTCACATTACCAGTCACAGCTTCTACTGACTAGCACCAAATGCCTGGTACATAAAATGCAATTCAAACACCTCTGAAATGCCCTAATATTGCATTAATGACATGCTATCTTATGAATGATATGTTGCCAACTTTCCAGTGTTGCTAAATTAGAAGCCACGCAACACCAGATTATCCCATGCTTAATTGCTTTTTTTTTTTCCTTTCATTTTTTGTTTCAATAGAATTATGTCACACCATATGTCGTGTGTAGAAAACATTTAGTCATCCTAAGCTTTATTATTTTTTTACTATTCACTTATCATTTCTACTGCATTATGTAATTTTACACCATATTTTGATTGTGTAGACGAAACTTTATACTGAAGACTGGATTGGCTTGAAAACCTTAGATGATGCTGGAAGAGTCAAATATATTAGCGTGCCAGGAAATCATCTAGCAATATCCAAGGCTGGTATGAAAAAGTATATCGTGCCATACTTGGAAAATCAAACATCAACAAATATAGGAATCAGGGGATCGTCATCTTTTAGAAGGCCTTCATCCATCTGGAGTTGCATCAAAGAATTAGTTGGACCCATTCAAAACAGGCCATTGCTGCAGACCTAATCCGGTTGCAATGTTGGACCGTATATTACCTCTGAATTTTAGAGAGAGAGAGAGAGAGCGTGTGTATGGAATTTATGGGTCTCAGTGCATGTGCAGTGATGTTAACTTAGTCCTTGTTTACTCTTTCAAATTCGTCAAACAATGTGCATTGGCATCAATTGGAGCACGTTCAACGCTATTGATAATGATTATTTAGCATCTGTATCATGCTACCTTCTCCACACCTCCCCCCCAAAAAAAAGTAATACAAGAGCTTTAGCTGATGTTTGAATTGAACAAGGATGGATTAATTTATCATTGAGAAATGCATTGTAAAAGCAAGCCAAACACGTGATCAATAGATCAATCAGTTGAACAACACATGTCTGAACGAGTCGACCTTTTTACAAGCTGTTCAAGCTCGGCTCGGTTTCAACCGAGTTCGAGTCCAATTCACTGGCTCGATTATTAAACGAGCCGAGCTCAAGTCTATTAGAGCTCAGCTCGCGAGTCAGCTCGAATATATATATATATAATAAAAATATTATAATGCTTAATTTTTTAAATATCAAATAAAAATATTTTTATATATAATTTTTTATTTTTATAAAATATTTTTTCTCAAAATCAAGCTCGAGCTTATGAATTTTTTACTCGAGCTCAAGGTTCTGGTTCGAACCGAGCTTGAGCTCGAGCTTGAGCCTTGTAGAACAGTCTCGAGCCGAGCTCGAGCTTAGTACTATTTGGCTCGGCTCAGCTCGAATCCACCCCTTACCTTTCTTCTCTTTCTGTTAATCTGTTCTTTGGGCGTATTTACTGTGTAACAAATCTTGTCAAGTAAATGCATTTTTGACATCAAACGGCATAGAAAATCTGTTATTAGTATTTGAAGCTTGGTAGCTCAGAAATAAATGATTTAAATTTTTTGAACCATGATGCACCATTCTACTCATAAGGCTCAATTGTGAAGGAATACAAATACATATATGTACAGTGCAAATACATATAAAATAATATAAAATATAAGATTTTGTGATCTACAAATTTGCATTTGTACTCCTTCCAAACTGAGCCTAATTTCATGAGGAAGTGAAGACACATTCCAAGTAAATGAATAGCGGATATATTTATGACACGATAAAATCGAAATCGATCTAAGAATTGAATGAGCTAGAAAACCAATATAAATTTTGAAATGCCTCCTAAGTTTAATCCATTAATATGTTTGGTTTGAAATGCCTCCCAGGTTTAACCCATTAATATGTTGGGTTTGAAGGAAAATGTAGGGAAAGGAAGGGAAAGGCAGGGAAACCTTTACAAACCTTGGATTGGTTTCCCTGTTATAAAACAAGGTTGGGAATCCCTGTTATTAGTACTAGAAAATCATTTTTGACATCAAACATGTCCATGGTTGAAAATCTGTTAAACTTCCACTCTCTAAAATAGCGTAAGTTATAAAACAAGAAAGCAAGTGTAATTCTTACATTTTCTCAAAAGAAGTGTAGTTCTTAGTTATTAATAAATATAGTCTGTTCATATACATTTGCTACATAACGAATCAGCAAAAACTTTCTTCATCCATTTTCTCTCCTCTTGTTTGGAATAGCCGGCGATCATTGCAACCAAGATGATCTTCAGTCTGGGGCAAATGACCTACTGATGCAGCTGAACAATCTCCAAACTGGGACATTGGAGCCAAGAGTGATCGTAGTTTACATAGTACATCCAACCATGGACATGTTTAACTCTCATCTTCAGATTTTTTTTTGGCAATTACCTTTCATCTTCAGACTACGGAAGTTCGCTGACAGTTGTTGGACTTCTTAAGTTAGAAAATGATCGATCATGTGCTGGATGACATCTACACCCTCTGAATGAATGAAGTGATCTTTGACCTGCAAAACATCCGATAGTTCCTTTAAACAAGATCGAGGGAAATGTTTAACCCAAAAGCTTGTTGTGGGTTGCATTTTTTAACACGACAGGAAATGGTTGGGAGGTCAACTGTTACGGGGCGCACTAAGATTTGATTTAGTAAACTGAATTGTGGACCCCCCCCCCCCCAAAGTTTTCCTACCATGCTGTTGTATGTTGTCCACTATCTTGACACTGTAGTAGGGGCACTCTTTTCAGATTACCACTAAAGACATTTTAACGGTAGCCATCTTACCGACAAAAAAAGGCCCAAAATTGAGCTGCTGTATCCCTGCATAAAATCCCTAAAACATTGGGAGAATGACCAATTAGCCCAGGGTCAGAATTTATAGGCTCAAAGTACTGTCGGGGTAGGTGCCAGTTCAAGGGGGGGGGGGGTTACTAATAGACTAGGAAGGGGGCTGCAAAAAAGATTTCTGAGGGGAATTGCAGTCCAAAAATCCCTAAAATATTGGGAGAATGACTGATTAGCCCAGGGTCAGAATTCGTAGGCTCAAAGTACTGTCGGGGTAGGTGCCAGTTCAGAATTGATGCCAATTCACGGGCAGGCGTTGGTGCATAGAGTGTGGTTTGTGGTCCTTTTGAATGTTTATAGCTCTGCAGCATAAATCAGAAATCTGCATTGGGCAAATCCATACTTCTCCGTAAAATATTTGAACCACCATCATTGCAAAAAATTGACAAGACATTTAAGTGTACTTCTTTGAGCATCTTAAGTCAATGAATATATATAGATAAAAATATTTGGACAAGACACTACACACACACTTAAGATGCATTGCAGGCCAGGCTGGGCCTGAACACAACCTAGGCCCAAGCCTAGAATTTCCGGTCCGGGATGAAAATGGTCACCCCTACTGACAGTTTATCAGTTAAAACCATCGTGGTTTAAATCTCAGGTTCACAGCATGGAGAATAGCCTCACATATCCAGATCATGGTTTTAAAAGGCTGCCGAGGTGAGGCCAAAGGCCTATGCCTTGAGGTGAGGCAGACCAAAAAGGCCTGACCTCGATAACCTTTTCCTCCATAGACAAGGCTTAGGCCTTGAGTTGGTAGAGGCGTAAGCCTTTCGGCCTTTAGCCTCATCATCCTCAAGGCCTACACCCCAAGTATTAACTCTGTCAATGCTGAATAATCATATTTTACAGGGGTAAAATTGGATTAAAGGAAAATAAACAAACCCCAAAAGCTTATGACATGTTTTTCTATGTTTTCGAAGTAGAGCAGAAACTAGAGAGTCAGAGACGAGAGAAGAAAATGAATAGCTCAATAGACTAAGAGATGAACCAGTTACCAGTGTTAAGGGTAAGAGGAGGGTGAGAGACTGTTGTTTTACAGTACTAGTGCACCAAAAACGAAGAAGGTGGCAAAGATCATTAGGGTCAGACTAAGACAAACTAGTAGGCCCCTCCTTTTCCTGTTCTTTTCTGGTTTTTTTTTTTTTCTTCTTTTTCAATGATCTCTGTTCGGTGGTTTCTATTCTTCATGATTATGAGATTGTCGATGGGAACAAAATCCATGGAACTTCAAAATGTTCTGATGTCGTATTTCTGTTAATACATGTATCTCAATCATGAAACTTTCATCTAAGATGGCCCACTGCCTTCCAATGGCTTAAATTTCTTCACTGCTACTACATGGCTTGTAGGTAGCTCTATTGTGTAAACTCTTCCATGACTTCCAGCCCCAAATATGCAATATTTAATTTGGAATAAAAATTATGTCACTTCAATAATGTCTTCATATGCAATCTTACTGTGTTCATTCCAAAAGCTGAAAACATCTGTAGGAATCAAATCCATATTTAATATATCAAATAAGCCGCATAATATTATATAAAATCTTAATTTTGTGTTTTCTCATGTCCTTGTTTTTTTTTTATGAATGCCTCGTGTCCTTAATATTTATAGCTATATCCATAAAATTTTACTTTTTTTTGTGCGAGGCTTAAGCCTCACCCCTATCCCAACCAACTGCCTCGCCTCCGCCTTTGGCCTTTTAAGACCTTGATCCAGATTAACCAAACCAATACCATGTTCTAATTTCTGATTGTTGTTTATATATTGCTATATGATTTCAGACTACTTTATCTGCCTGCCTAAATGACAGTGCAGTAATTGTGTGTGTGTGTGTGTGTGTGTGTGTGTGTGAGAGAGAGAGAGAGAGACCTGAATCACACTATGTGCAGAAAACCTCTGTCTGCTGCTGTGAAAGCTAACGTCTACCTTTTCCCATGACACACAAGAGAGACCCGTCACCAGCTCCTCTGCATGGTATAATCAAATCTTAGAAGCAACTTCTTCAATATTTCTGATTTTAGATAAAACAGTTTGTCATAACCAATATAAAAATAAATAAAAACAAAACAGTTTATCATAAAAGAGACAGCAACAGAACCTATGCAAAAAAAATACAAGTTATGCCAGCTATTTAATTTTTACAATCATCTACATGGACATAGTACAACAGCTGAATATATGAAAATTTCAGGGGCAAAAAAACTGACTTAATAATCAATAAAGGAATTTAAGCGCTTCAAAGCATTAAAAGAATAGAACATGGATTAAGTCTTTTACCCAAACGAGGTAGGCAATTTGTTGTGGGACTTGTCAGTTACAAAACGCTATTATTAAAATGAAATACAAGTACCACTCCCAGATTTAACATATGTTTAGTGTATCTCCTGCTTGTGCAACACAACCTCAACAATAAGCAGGTCAACTGAAAGAGAGAATCAAGTAATACATAGTAGGATTTTGTTGCTTCATTTGTTCTATTACATATATACCCATAAACATTTCTTTAGAAAACAAACAATGTAGTGCTTCCAATTTCAACAAATCTAATACTCATGGCATACACAAGTAGTGCCATAATATGTAACATGAAGAATGAATAAGATTGGGCCAAGGGAAGGTACTAGTTTTTGGTTTTGGTTTTGCTCCAGTTACTTTATTGACTCATTAACTGTAGATACTTGAAACTAAAACAGGATATGAACTTCCAGTATGATTTAGATTGTTCACTCATCGGTATTGCCAGGAAAACATCATATACAATAATGACACCATAGAATCTTAGTAGCTTTGTGTTCTCCTTTTACTTTTAAAGGGCTAGTCTGGAACAATGTACACCAATTATTAATTCACACCATATCACATGTAAAGCTGTCACTATTGAGATAATCAAGCTTGGAATCTGCTTTGGCAGACATAAATTAATGGGAAAAATAAAACCATTCAACGGCGGATAAAGAATTCAGAAGAGGAGCGCTAGTAAACAACAAGTTTATTCAACTCTTCAAAACTTCACCTGTAGACATGGTGTGGCCCATGAAAAGAAACACAAAATTGGACTTGGATATAAACTCATGGGTTCCACCTTGTCTGTATTCAGTAGGGTGAAGGAATTCAAGAGTAGCATAAACTCGTTTTCATGAGTCCCATAATTAAAACCATGTTGACCTTTCTAAAGTTTTTCAACAAAATAAATCATCAAATATGCCAGCACATAAAGCAAGGAATGAAACAAATGCAAAAATCAATCTAAATTTTGAAAAAGAACCTAAAGGAAATGAGACAATGGTAAGTAATAACAAACAGAAACATGTGCATTCATAGTGGGAAAAAATAAAACTAGATATAGTTAATATTCAAACAGAAACAAAAATTTGACAAGACTGCAGATATCTGAAGCTGGTTTCACCAACCACTAAAGGTACTAACCTTCTAGAATATCAGAACCTTCCTCCATCAAAATGGACCCCTTACTAACATTTGCCTTGGTGTACTCTTCATACACAATATGTGGATATTTCTCACTTAGAGAATCCTCCCACTAGTAACCAAGAAGTAACACGGTTATCACATTGCAATTTAGCTTAAATAAATGGATGCACTACTGAAAGCTGAAAACATTACCTTTGGCAGTTCACTATTACGTCTAATTGATGATGTTCTCCAGCCAACAATATCTTAATAGCATATAGTTATGGAAATAAAAATGGCAATTGAAGCAGAATTCTTATCAACAAAAAAGTTAACCAAGAACTATTTTGATGGATAAAAGAGGATACGATCATAGCCAACATTTGAATATGCCACACGCCGTTTGAATACACGAAGAGCAGACCTACATTAGCGAGAATTACCACCATAGTTATGTATGCAACTATATTGGAGAAAGAGATGCCTAAATTTTTTACAATCCACTGAAGCAATTTACAGAAGGTAAAGAAGTTAAAAATACATGAAATAAAGGTCACCATAATCCTCAACCATGCATCGTAGTAATGGAGGTTTCCCATCCTCAGAATCAGTAAGAAAAAGATGTACACCCGTTCTCCTAAATATCCAATGAATAACACGACTTGCAGCCCTTTCAAAGGCGGTTACCCCAAAAAGAAATGGAACCTAAAAATAGAAAAGAAATCACCAAATCTTATTAAAAATCAGGTAACTCCATCCAATTGTTAATAATCAATAAAGGTGTAAACAGAATCCCAAAATCCAAACAGTCAAAGTCTTCAAAACATTTTATAAAATAAAGCTCAGAAATTTCTGATTCATTGTACATAGTACAATCCAGATTTCCCACAGATCATGTCAATTAAAGATATCTATAGCAAAACAAAAAATGGAGAAATACTAATACAAGTTTCATGGCTTCCGCCCCGATCTGAATTAGTTTTAATAGAAACAGTCCTTAAAAGCAGACCCTTAAAATAGGGATTTTATTCAAGATTGAACATTAGGGGTGCAACTAAGCTACTAATTGGATCTACATGAAATCATGGCTGAGGTTTTCTGATCCACTAAACAGGACCTCTGTAATATGCACTGAACAGAGCAGACCTATGGTGGACCAGATACCCACACTTAACTCGTATACTCAGAGTAGTTCAGACCTCAGGCAGGATGTATAGTTGACCTTGCACCCAATCATGACAATATTAGGCTTACAAATTTGAAAGGTGGAAACAAACTCCAATCCACCTCACGCTCACCATCCAGCATATTTCATGCTTAACATAATTTAGTATGATAAGCCAATAAATTTAACTCAATCAATTTCCAAGATTTGACCTCAAAAAGAATATAAATCCAAACTTCTAAATATTAGTACTTGAGCAGAAATTGTCCACCAACACAAAATGCATGTGACAGCATGTCAAAGATATATTTCCTATTAAATGTATTTTTAGTTTAGACACGTCAGGATATTTCCTAAAAAATAAATCGTTTTATCATAATGATTCCCTTGATAAAATACTAGAGAGTGACCCCTGTACTAAGTACAGGGCCAGTATTCTGATTTTTTTTATTTATATATTCTAATGATTTTGTTTAACACCCATTTTTTATGTTGTAAATTTAGCTTACTATTTTATTTGATTTTTTATGTATAGATATGTTTTTAATTTAAGAGATTGAGTCAAGTTTTATTTCTAAATAATAACCCACTGTATGGATGCTACATCATTTGAAATGAGTTTCATTTTTTTTTTCTTTTTTAATGGAGATAACTACCACTAACTGTTTTGAGAGTGGAGGTAACTACCATTTGAAAGGGTAGACATGTCTGAGGAAGGAAGCTTCTGCTTGAGAGTAGAAATAACCACTTTTGAGATGCTCTTTCTTGAGAAAATAAGATGCCACTTTTCTGAGGGAGAAGCTCTCTAGTCTGAGGGCTTTGTTTTAAAATATATAGATTTTGTTAACAATGGCATGTAAAGAGATATTTCATGCATATCCCTTCAAAAAATACTTTGGAGAAGCAAGACCAAGGTGTGTATATCAAATCCAAAATTTATGTTCTCCCAAATGGAGAAATAAGGGGGTTCTTCAAGAATCAAGTTGACAAGTTGGTGAGGAGGGTATTAGACTCCCACTTCTTGGATTTCTGTTCTCAAGGAGTCTAAGGAGATCCACTACACTGATGTCTTGTCATCTCATAGTATAATGGTCTGAACTACATAATTTCTTATGCTATGTTGTCTTTCGTGGAGAAGAATCATTTTATATCAGTTTATAAGATATACATTGGTGGGATTTGCCCATTTTAGTAAATACAAACATACATATATACATACATATATATGTGTGTGTGTGTGTGTATATATATATATGTATGTATGTATGTATGTTTGTACGTATGTGTGTATTTCATGCAAAACAACAAGTTTTCTATTAAACAGAAAAGAGAAAAAGAAATTTATTAGTACTTTCAATGTATAAAAAAAAATAATGTAGATAATTTTTTATTGAGATTCTAAGCATCTCCATAAGATTCATTTGGGAAGTAAGAAAAGGCCTTTGTCTTATCTTGCTTGTGCTGCTTCAAATTTCTCAACTGAGCCAGCCTTAAATGTCAGCAACCGTTCAAGCTTACTTCATGAAAGTTTCATTTACAATAGTATTTCCAAATTAGAGAAAGCGCCAACATAATTGAAACTCTTGAACATGGATGCAAGGCAACAATAAATACCTGCTTGTTACCCCTTGAACCAAGATGAGGTGTAGCAACAGTAATAAAATTCATTGCCTCCAGACCACATATTGTGCCCCTTGGGTCTTCATCACATGTACGATCCAATGCAATTTCACTTTTAGAAGGTCTAAATAGTCTCCCAACAGCATATCTTGCTACCAGTCCTCCCATGGAATGTGCAACAAAAGAAATCTTCCTTACACTTGGCTTTCGTTCAATTACTTCTAAGACCTGATTTTAAAGGTGGTGTCATAGACCAATATAATAGCAGCATCATTGTGCATGTTGTTTTGATAATATTAATGAATAAAGGAAGTGAAACTGGCAATAAGTATAAATGTATAACATAATCTAACAAACCTCCACAGCTAATCTCTCACCCATGACATCTATGCCATCTAATGTCAGTGTAGACACATTGCTTTCACTACCTGCAACATGTGTCAACCAGCCAAAAGTGAGATGAAGCAAATGGTTGTCAAACAAAGAAGACTGAGACTGCACATGAAACCATCCCCTATAAGAAAATGTAGACTTTGGGACATCAACATTTTCAAATGCAAGGCAAAAAATAACATAGCACGATATTGATGACACATTAACAGATGGCACATTAAGAAACACAATATTGATGCCTATGCTGCACACAAAATAGTACATAGGTACAAATATTGAAATGCAACACAAGAACCACTTGTCAGATTGAGAAAACTCGGAAATAACAATCATAGATTTGGCAACATGAATTAGATAATATGAATTACTACATCTTTAATAAAAAAGAATATACTTAATTCTTTTTAGATAAACCTTATTTTATCACAAAGAAAAGAAGAAAAATACACGCCACAATAAAAAACACCAAAACCAAACTAGAAAAAGTACACAAAGCCATCTAACAAAAAATTCTTTCCTCCCCACAACTACACAACTCATTACAATATTGACGACGACATCACTACTGTGAACTCATTATGAACAATTAGGGCTCTTCACGGGTCGGGTTGGATCGGTTTACTGGGGTTTTCCCAACCGACCCAACCTGGTCGGGTTACCTGAGGTGGAAACCGAAACCGACCCACTGATAGGCAAAACCGACCTGGTCGGTTTGAGTCGGGTTGGGTCGGTTTGGGTCGGTTTCGGTTTTGCTCCTGTACAAAAAGGACAGAGAAGCCTAGAAGGAAATTTATTGAGTTGAGAGTCATACTCAAATTGTATTATTTAGAGAATAGAGATTGTGCTTGAGTTGAGGACTTGAGGGGCTAATGGGGGCGGACCAAGTTAGAAATAGAAGAGAAGACAAAAGTTAATAAAATAGAAAGTCAAACTGTTTTATAGAAAGAAGGCTGAAATATTTATATTTCAAGAAACTTTCTAATAGGAACTAGAAGACTAGTTAAGTAGGAACTAGAACTAGAAGACTAATTGGTTCGGTTCGGTTCGGGTCAGTTTCGGTTTTCACACAAGAAAACCGAAACCAACCCGATACATCGGTTTACGAATTTTCCCAACCCGAAACCGACCGGTGCTGATGAAAACCCAGCCGACTCGGGTTGGGTCGGTCCGGGTTGGTCGGTTTGGTCGGGTTGGACCTTCTTATGAACAGCCCTATGAACAATTAAGGGATCAATAAATAAGGTAAAGAAAATGTCAATTTTTTATGATTCTTCAAGTGGTAACAAAGTCATCCAGGTAGGGAAAACTATAAACCATCAACCAATTAGACTACAATTTGCCTTGTTACCAAATCATTAGCTTTGGTTTTGAGTTGAGCACAATATTTTAAAAAATTGTAATCATATTGTAAATCGTAGAGAAAGTTGAATTGAATTGAATTGTAAATCACATCATAAATCATAAGATTATTTCTATTTTCTACAAACTTGTCAAAAAATAAATAGACATATTAAAAACCTATATATATATAGGAAAGTGACTTCACTCTATATCTACCATATATGTAGTATGTACAAAAACTAGAATTTACCACTTATGCAATAGAAACCTAAGATGATATAATCAAGTTTTATTTGAAAATAAACTCAATTTCTAGTCTTAAATATCATAAATAAATCATTTTCTAGTAAGGGCTTTAAAAAAAGTCTCCCTTGGCAAAACTAAATATAAATAAAAAAATCACAAAGTAGATAACTAATTCTTAATTGAATTTATTTGAATAGTAAAAATAGTATAAATCATAAGTTTAATGAATCAAATCTACTATTCAAACAAGAATCATAAGATTTTTGCAAAAAAAAAAAAAACGGTTTCAAACATAAGATTTGAATCAAACCTTTTGGATTCATGATTCAAATCGTGAATTGCATCGTTAATCATAAGATTTTGACAACATTGGTTGAGCGCAATGTCTTTAAACTAGACCTGACCAGATGATTGTTTATTTCTAGTTTGATGGTTTGGTTGGGGTAAAGCGGTTATCAAACTAGGAAATGCACGGTATTTGGTTCAACCTTGGTCCAATTTTAAAAAGCACCCATCCATTGTCTATGATAGACAAGTCAAATTCACCCATTCACCATTTATGGGTGATGACCATTCATCCATACTACTTTAGAATTGGTCAAGTGTGTATGTTATGCTAGAAGGCTAATTCATGATATAATCTATGGTACTTGGAGGGAAAGGAATAATAGCACATTTGAGAACTCTTGACAGTAAATCTGATTGAAGGTTATAGCAAAAGAGAAGAGAAGAGAAGAGGAGAGGAGAAGAGAAGGAAGAAAGAAGAAGTGTTGAGGCAATGGAACAGTGCTGGTGGCGCCAACTTCATTATAATATATAGGGCGAAAATAATAAAAAGGGAATGACCCTTGTGCCCCTACTAAGTGAAGGTACAATAATAGAGTAAAATACAAAGGCTTTAATCAGCCAAACAGACCCTAGCAAACATAAAATCAATTATTTCAACACTCCCCCTCAAGTTGGAGAATAGATGTCAATGATGCCCAACTTGTCACACAAATCATTATGCCGCACATGATGAAGACCTTTGGTGAAGATGTCTGCAAGTTGTTCTTCTGRGYTGACATATGGKGTGCACACTTCTCYAYTYAYAAGTTTCTCTCTAATAAAATGCTTGTCCACTTCAATGTGTTTCGTCCTATCATGGACGACTGGATTAGTTGCAATGTTGATAGCAGCCTTATTGTCGCAATAGAGTGACATAGGGTTGCTAACTGTAAAACCCAGTTCTCCTAACAGATTTCTTATCCACATGATTTCAGCAACTCCATGAGACATAACTTTGTATTCTGCTTCAGCACTAGACCTGGCCACCACACTTTGCTTCTTACTTCTCCATGTGACTAGGTTTCCCTTTACAAAGGCACAATATCCACCGGTAGACTTTCGGTCATCAATTTCCACTGCCCAATCAGCATCAGTATATACCTCCACCTTTAAATGTCCATGTTTCTAGAACAACAAACCAGCTCCAGGAAATTTCTTGAGGTATCTGAGGATCCTCTCTGCAGCTTCAAGGTGAGTTGTCCTAAGATTGTGCATGAACTGACTAAGGACACCCACTGCATAAGCAATATCAGGCCTGGTCATAGACAAATACAAGAGTCTCTCTACAAGTCTCTGAAACTTCTTCACATCTTTCAAGAACTCTCCCTGACTGTCTCCCAGATGATAGTTAGGTTCAATTAGTGAGTCAATTGGTCTCACCCCCAGTTTGCTCGTATCTTCTAGTAGATCTAGTACATATTTCCATTGGGAAATAAAGATGCCCTTGTGAGAGTGGGCAACTTCAATTCCAAGGAAATAACGCAAGGGGCCTAGATCTTTCACTTCAAATTGAGTGGCTAAGAACTTTTTTGGTCTTTGTATTTCAGCCTCCCAATCTTTTGTGATCACTATGTCATCCACATACACAATTAGAGCTGCAATTTTCCCTTCACCTTTCTTCACAAATAGTGTGTGATCTGACTAACATTGTTTGAACCCCATCTGTTGAACTGCTAAGTGGAACTTACTAAACTAAGCCCAAGGAGATTGTTTCAGCCCATATAAAGATTTTTTTAACTTGCACACTTTCTGTTCACTGATTTTAACACAAAAACCTGGAGGTTGGGTCATGTACACTTCCTCTTCTAAGTCACCATTCAAGAAAGCATTTTTTATTTCCAATTGGTGAAGTTCCCAGTCAAGATTTGCCACCAATGAAAGGAGAATTTTGATAGAGGTCATCTTGGCTACCGAGGCAAAAGTCTCTACATAGTCCACTCCATATACTTGTGTAAAACCTTTTGCCACCAGTCTGGCCTTGTACCTTTCAACAGTTCCATCAGCCTTGTGTTTCACTATGAACACCCACTTGCACCCCACTGGTTCCTTCCCTTCAGGAAGATCCACTAACTCCCAAGTGTCATTTTTGTGTAATGCATCAACATCTTCCTTCATTGCATCTGTCCATTCAGGTTTGGATAAAGCTTCTACCACATTCTTAGGAATGGGGATACTGTCAACAGAGGAGAGGAATGCACGATATAAAGATGAAATATGATCATAGGACACAAAGTGAGAGATAAGGTGGTTAGTGGTACAAGATCTAACACCCTTTCTCTTAGCAATAGGAACATCAAGATCTTTTTTTCTTTTTGATAAATGAGAGTAGTTTTATTAATTCAAAAAATAGTAGTACATTCAGCCTAGGAAGAGGCACGAGGTGTTACCTCCCCCTAGGACTGAGTCATAAACACTAAACAAACACAAGCCTGAAACATAGTTACAAAGTGGCCCAAAACAGATCTCCCCTTGACACCCCTTGCTTAGCCAAAGAATCAGCCATTGCATTTGCTGATCTGCTGACCCACCGAAACATGACTGACATATTCCTTGTTAGCCATTTAACTTTCTTTAACAGATCCTTATAGCCCCAACAAGCTGTCTCTGGACTTGTCAACCAGCCCACTACTACCTTGGAATCCCCTTCTACTATCAAATTATTCACTCCAAGTTGACTGGCCATCTGTATACCTTGTACCGTTGCTAGTATCTCTGCCCTTACAAAATCACCAACACCCACTAGTCCTAAAAATAAAGACAACATGTTGCTATCTTTGTCTCTCAGAATCCCCCGTATTCCAGATGGCCCTGGGTTACCTTGGCAACTACCATCAAAGTTCAGTTTTACCACTCCATCCGGTGGGGATTCCCATTCAGCTTGTGATTTGTTCTTTGTGGAGACTGTAGAAGCCACTGCTGCCCAGTTTCTCCTTAAATCGTCAAAGGAGTAATCTGCCAACAAATGTGAAGATTTTAGCCACGAGACTGTCCTTGTCATTATGCATTCCTTAATTTCAACAAGACTTCTTTCCTTTTCTTGAAATATTCTAGCATTTATCTCCTCCCATAAAGTCCACAAGGTAGCGGCTCTGATACATTTCCACATTAGCTTCCCTCTTTT